AGCAGGAAGCTGGCAGCCCCTGGGGGCCCAGGCACCAGGCAAATGAGTTTGGAGGCTGCTGCATGGCCCCTCTCGTGTATCAGTGCAGCAAAGGGTCAGTGGGGGCCAGGTCTCCTGGCCCCTCTCCCCAGATTGTGGAGGGGGATCTGGTGGGTTAGAGCAGAGCTCCTGAGTTCTTTCTCTGGCTCTGGGTTAGATGGACAGGGAGCTAGGGCCCTGACTTGTAATCAGTGCTTTTGGGAGGTTGTGGTAATACAACTGCAGGATTATACAGAGGGGCTGTGTCTAGACTGGCCAGTTTTTCCAGGAAATCAGCCGCTTTTCCAGAAAAACTTGCCAGCTGTCTACACTGGCCGCTTGAATTTCCGCAAAAGCACTGACTTCCTACTGTAAGAAATCAGTGCTTCTTGCGGAAATACTATGCTGCTCCCATTCGGTCAAAAGTCCCTTTTGCGCAAAACTTTTGCGCAAAAGGGCCAGTGTAGACAGCTGAGAGTTGTTTTCCGCAAAAAAGCCCCGATGGCAAAAATGGCGATGGGGGCTTTTTTTGCGGAAAAGTGCAACTAGATTGGCACAGACGCTTTTCCACAAAAAGTGCTTTTGCAGAAAAGCGTCCATGCCAATCTAGACGCTCTGTTCCAAAAATGCTTTTAACGGAAAACTTTTCCGTTAAAAGCATTTCCGGAAAATCATGCCAGTCTAGACGTAGCCAGGGTTAAAAGCAAAGTTCAACGAGGGATGCAGGGGCTGTGGGTCAGGAGTGAGGGGCTCCGGCAGGGCTGTGGGCGGGACCCAGGGGGCGGCCAGCATTGGGTTAGCAGGGGGCTCCGGGATGGAAGTGAGGGGGCCGGCAGGTGCTGTGGGTTGGGAGTGAGGGACTCCGGGAGGGCTGGGCTGGCGGGGGCTGTGGATCGGGAGTGAGGGGCTCTGGCAGGGAGCCCTGGGCTGGGAGCAGGTCCCAGTTGTCTGTAGGTTAAAAACATTCCCAACCCTCTCTGTCTCTGCGTGTCGGATGCTGACGTTACTCTGAAGTGCGAACCCTGGCACGGCCTAGCCCAGGGAGATAAAGGGGGAGGGCCAGTGCTGCCGTCCATGTAGGCTGGAAAAGGTTAAAGAGATGGTAACAGGTACCTCCAGCCCTGCCAGGAGAGCTGGGGAGCCCCATTCCCTCTAATAAGGGGAACTGTTGAGGGTAGGATGGAGCCAGCTGGGAGACAGGATTCCTGGCTTCTCTCTCCAGCTCAGGTAGGGAGTTGAGGTCTAGGGGTTATAGCAGGGGCAGCTGAAGTCCTGCTCCTAAATACTAGCCCAGAGCTGCCTTTCTGCAGCTGCAAGGAGAACCCAGTCATAAGCAGGAGGCACTGGGCAGCAGGGAATGGGGCAGGGGCTCAGCAGGGAACACTGCGCTGCAAGGAAGAGGGTGGGGGCCCACCAGGAGGTTCTGGGCTGCAGGGAGCAGGGGGCTCAGCAGGGGGCCCTGGGTTGCAGGGAGCATAGTGAGGGCCCCGCTGGGGGTACTGGGCTGCAGGAAGCAGAATAGGGTACAGCCCGGGGCACTGTACTGCAGGGTGGGGGCTCAGCAGCGGGTGCTGGGCTTCAGGGAGCAAGGTGGGGGCACAACGGGGGGTGCTGGGCTGCAGGTAGAAGGGTGAGGGCTCAGAAGGAGGTGCTGGGCTGTGGGGAGCAGGGTGGGGCCTCAGCAGGAGGTTATGGGCTGCAGGAAGCACAGGGCTCAGTAGAGGCTGTTGGGTTGTGGGGCTGAGCAGGGTCACTGGGCTGCAGGGAGGGAGCTCAGCAGGATATGCTGGGGAGCAGGGCAGGGACCCAGCAGGGGGTGCTGGGCAGCAGGGAGAAGGATGGGGACCCAGTAGGGGGTGCTGGGCTGTGGTGAGCAGGATGGAAGAATGGCTCTTGTGAAAAAGGGGATCTTTGTGCAAAAAGGTGCCATCTACATTGCACTTTTTTGTCCAAAAACCTCTTGAGCAAAAGGGAAAGGACGAGGAAATACAAATGAGAGTGCTGCATATGCAAATGAGTGCTCCATTTGCATTTGCTCTTCTGCAAGAGGCTTGTAATATAGACAAAGCCTTTGAGTTTAAGATGCTTCAGCCCCTGCCTCCCCCCTCTAATCCAGGTTATGTCTAGACTACAATGATCTATTGGGAAAAGCTTCAGGGGGTAGCTGAGTTAGTCTGTGCAGGATAAACTTAAAAAACAACAAATGGGCTGGTAGCACTTTAAAGACTAACAAAACATGGAGATAGGATCATGAGCTTTCGCTGTCATCTGAAGAAGTGGGCTGTGCCCACGAAAGCTCATGACCCCATCTACGTTTTGTTAGTCTATAAAGTGCTACCAGACCATTTGTTGTTTTCAAAGTTTATTGGGAAAAGGCACACAAATTGTGCTCCGCAATTTGCAAACTTTTTCATGGAAGGAGGAAGACAGGGCTTTGGAAAAAGCGTGTCTGGTCTTCTGGAAGAAGAGAGAAAAAAAAAGCACAGACATGTCCCCTGGACATGGCACAGTTTTTCTGGGAAACCCCCATAGTCTAGATGTAGCTCCAATGCCCCACCCTCTCCCCCGGGGCCTGGCACCTCCAGACCGCCTGCTCTAACCCAATGTCCTCCACTTCCCTCAGAGCCAGGCACCCCCAGCCTCCCTGCTCTAACCCAATGCCCTCTGCACCCCCAACCCCCCACTTCCGCGCTAACCCAATGCCTGGGTCTCATTGGAGCTGCCGCCACAGCCATGCACTTCTGCCTGTAGGTGCTGTGGCATGTGTGCAGAGCGGCTCAGAACTAGCAAGAGCCACATTGCTTTGAGCAAAGAGCCACATGCAACTCAAGAGCTGCGGGTTGCCCACACCTGGGCTGGGTGATGCAGGGGGAGGGGAAGGGTGGGGGATGCAGGGAGCTGGAGAA